AGTGTTTCACGTGCAATTTGGTTTTTATTCATGAACTCTCTGCCTACCCCTATGTCTTCGAGGTTTTTACCTACTTTCTCTTCCAATAGATTTAGTGTGAAACTATAATCTTGAGTGTTGAAATCCTGGAATATCAAAATCCATCCTGAAAGATTAAAATCCCAAATGTTGAAAAACTGAAAGCTAAAATCTTGAAAATTGCAATTCTGGTGGAGGAGAAAAAGGATATATTTGAGATTGCCTTCAGATATGTAATTGGCACCAAAATAATTTATTTTTTATAATTTACATTATCATTAAGATAAAACTTTGGCAAAAGAAGTCAGCTAAAACATATATATATATTTTGTTTTGTTTTTGTTTTGTTTTGTTTCCGGTACCAGGAATTGAACTCACAACCTTGCGCTTGCTGGGCAGGCGCTGTGCCTCTGAGCTAAATCCCCACCCCCCTAAAATGTATTCTTTATATGCTCTTATAGACCTAAATTCAGCTAAACCATATTCTTTATATGCCCTTATATGCCTAAATTAATCTGTATGTACATCATCAATTTATGGGAATAAAATAAAAAACTGAAGAATGTTAAATACATAACAATTTATGAAACATTTTATGGTTGTAGCATTAATGTGCAGTTCAGGTCCTTTGCTTTATAATCCTTTTACAACTTGAAATTCTTCTTTATGGTGCACTTCACACATTGTAGCAATATATTTTTATGACTGAGTCTGATCCTCTTTCCTCTGGATTGCGATCTCGATGAAAGGTAGCCGGTCACCTCTGCTCCTTACTGCATTATTCCTAACAACAAAGCTTGGTTCTCTAGAAGACTGTCCAGCAAATTTTGTAAATGAACTTGAGTCCTCTTTTGAAAATAGGCAGCGCCCCACACTATTAACCTGTCAGTATTATATTTTACAATTCCCTGTGCTATGTGTTTTTTCCTTGCATCATCTTCAATACTGAAAGAATAAGCGCTGTGAAGACCTTGTGTTTTAAATTCATAGTATGCGGGATTTGCAAATTTGGCTCCAAGAAACGGCATTATCGCAATGCTTTGATGGCCCTGTGTGTGTATGCGAACGTGTTGAAACTTCCTCAGTAAATGGTGAGCTGGTCTTTCTGTGCATCTGCGTTGATGAAAGACAAAGTTTCTGATGAAAGACAAAGGCTCTCCGGGTAACTGTATATGTGGCGGTGACCCCTCAAGGTTTTAGATTCATCTTGTTAAATATTTAGGTAGTCCAACACAACGCTTCAACTGACTGCTCTCTAAAGCTGGGTGAACACATTCACCAGTTGCAGTGGTAAGTGTTTATACATTGTGTTTTTGGACCTATTTCTTTCTGGCATGACTATCTGTTCATAACTATTCCACTTGTACAAGTGTCATTCGTAGTAATGCTTGCACACATACGCGTGGTATTATTGCCTAGCTATTGTGTAAAGTGGTCTAAGAAGTGTTCTGCAGCATTTTCATATTCTCAAATCCTCTCTTAAAGACGTAAATAAATATCATTTAACACATATATAATCACCTTCAGAGTTAACTCTTAAGGCGTCTGAATGTAAATAGATTCAAATACATGAATTTACACAGATGTGAATACACTAATGCCTGCCTGACTTTTCTATTCTCCCTTCCCCTGCATCTTATTTTCCTCATCTGCCTGTTTTTAATTCTCTTTTTGGTTATTAGATTGTATATATTTACATATTCCATCTAAAATTCTTTCCAGACCAAAGCATGACTTAAATATGGCAATAAGCATATTTATAAGGATGCGTTGACAATCAGCATTAATATTTCCAAAGGTTTTAAGTAAAAGTGAATTCCACTATGTGTAGCAGAAACTAATACACATTAAACAACATCGCCCCGTACAATTTAGTATGGATCCTTTGAGAATTAAGCCACAGATTTGGTGCCAAATCTAGAAAAGAAGGCAGCAAATTAAATTCTCCCTCATTCTAAGGGGAATCTTAAAGAGGTTTGTACTTAGGTCTGCACAAATTTATTTAAGCCCAAACCCCACTATGGGCAATTCCATGCACACAACTTTCTCTGCTTTTCTTTTCATTGCTTTACTATTTCATTTTTCCTACTCCCATGTATCTGGGCCTATTTATACTAATATTATGTATTATAAAGATTGTACTGCAAGCTGCCTTTGGAGCCTTGGGGTGTTTTGAAAATTGCTTCCACTGGGTTTGTATCACAAAGACCTATTTCCAGGTGCTGGAACCTTGTCATAAGTACCTGGCTGTTTCCCACCTTCTTGCACCCCTGAGAGTGGACAAATGAGTGTAGTGCACGTGGAAATGAAACCTCCAGGGGTGCCCTGCTGAAAGACTGGCCGGGGTCCTCTGGGAAGCAGTTTGCCAGGCAGGTGGATAGGCAGTTTGTTCTCAGCTCTAATCCTGTGTCCAGCGGGCAACCAGGTTCAGTCGTGGGGATCTCTGCCCAGACAGCCCAATAGGGATTGTGGGCACGGGGCACGCAGCTCTGCCCTGTCACTCATTGCTATGACCCTGGAGTGAACCAGGAGACCAAGGGCTGGAGCCCAGGATCTTGGCCTTCTGCCTTACTTTTGTGGGAGAGAAAGATAACATACTTACGACTGTCCTGTTGTTAAAGGGCCAGCAAACAACAGGACTCTTTTCCCTTTGCTGCAGAGTGGCTATTTGCTGCCCAAAGCAGCCCATGTCCTGAAGGAGGCAGCTGGCAGGAAATAACAGGCGTCGGAAGAGAGGTGTCAGGACCTTCAGTTCTACTGTGTGATGCGTTCTATGTTGCTGGCAAGGAAATCAGGCTCCCGGATCCATTCTGAAGCTGTAAAGGGCACTGGCAGTAGTTCTGACAATGAGATCACCACGCGTGCAAAGGGCCAGCCTGGCGCCTGCATGGACATGAACCTCCCCTCGCACCCTACTTCCCTCGGCAGAGGGAGAATTACGGCTGGGTGGTAAATGAGAAAGCAAACTTAGTCCCCATCATCCAGCAACCAACACTTTCAGAGGCGCCTTTGAGGGGTCCCCCGCTCCCCCAAGCTCACACTGGAACAGAAGCCCCATTTGACTTATTAGGAGGCAGGACTTCCACAAGGTAACAGGCTCTGCCCTTTGGGTCAGTCTGTTTGGGGGATCAATGGGCTACTGGGTGAATGGCTATCTCGGGAGTGAGTCTACTGCAAAAACCTGTCTGGGCCGGCCTCCCACGCTCCCTGTCTCTCATCAGGACGCCCTCCCAACCTCAAGACTCTGCCAGCAAGAAGCTGGCGCCAGTGGCAGCCCCTCACCGTTGTACCGGCATCAAAGTAAAGGAAGCAGACTTTCTTCATAATAGGCCCAGTCTGTGGTACTGTGTTTTGAGTAACAGAAAACAGGCAGAGACCCCAACTAATGTATCTAGAACCAAGACGACACCAGCACCCGACGCTGGGCATGGGACCACACTCCCTGCCCACTCCGAAACTAAGGGGCAGCCAAGTTCCTTGCTTGGTGATATGGAAACAGGAACCCCGACGGGCATCCTGGGACCCGAGCTGGCACAGCTGATGGCCACAGATTTGGACCTAACGCCAGTGAGACAACCTGGTCCTAGTTTCCGCAAGGATGCCCCCGATTTTCTAAATGGCTCTGTTTGTCTTTATTCAATCACTGTTAGATTATTTGTTTATTTGTTTTCGGAGGCACTGGGAATTGAACCCGAGGCTTTCCCACTGAGCTGCATTCCCAGTGACTCTCCACCCCCTTTAAAATTTTGAGACAGGGTCTCATTAAGTTTTAAGTTGCCCAGGCTGGGCTTGAACTTGTGATCCTTCTGCCTCAGCCTCCCAAAGTTCTGGGATTACAGGCTTTGGAATTTGTTTGCAATCTCTCTCCCACTCAAGGTACTTCCCTTGGGGCAGGGACCCTGGCTGTTTGGTTACCAGTTGTCTTGATAGCACCTGTGGTTTCTGGCATCTACAAGATGGGCATCTGCTAGGATTTATAGAACTAGTGCACTTTCATGTAATGGGCTAGAAGATCTGGAGTGCAATGATCTGGAAGTAGTGGGGGGGGGTGAGTACAGCTCACCCACTTTGAGTGACAGATTTGTACCTGGACAGGGACTTTTCTACAGTATTTAACCATCCGGGAGGGAGAGCGTGGTAGCAAGAGCGTGTAGAGTGGGATCTTTGCACTCGTCAAGCTCCTCCTCAGGCCACTCCCCACGAACCCGCTGCGCTGAGTCCCTTGATGTAATTTAGCGATGCTCCCCGCGGTGGCAATTCCAGGGAACCATCCCGAGGGACACCTGGTGCGACATAGAAAAGCGCTCATCCTCTCATCGCCAGCGGCTTTCACTGCTCGGGCCCCCAGGTGAACTTCCTCAGGCTCCATGTCACTTCTCTCAGCACGGTTTCCTTTCATGTCTGAAAATCAGTTTCCGTTAGAACTTGCCTCTTTAGACTTTGGGAAGCCTAGTTGGTGAGGGCGAACCTTATAGAGACGAGGGCCCAAACCGCAACCGAAAATCCACTTATTTATCCCAAAGCGCCAACTCTGCAATGGAACCTGGATACTGAGCTTTTAGTTTAGAAAAACATCTCTTATTAACATCTTTTGTCTTAAAAGAAGAACACCCGTGCCATAGGTTCGCCACGGCCGGAGCAGAGGCGGGCCACACCGCATCGTTGAAAAGCAGGCACTAACCACTCGTGGTGAAATGCGCGCGAATCGATATTTGATTAGACCTGTAGATATATATTTTTAAACTACTTTATTATGAAGGGTTTATAGTTCAGATAATTGTTAAAATCCTTACCCCCCCCTCAAATCCTGTAGTTTAGTAATATTACTGTAGTTTAGTGATAGCGTAATAGGACTAAGGGTTTAGTCCTTGGAATTTCCTTTGGTCTCTGCTTAAATCAAGCATTTAAAGGGTGTGTGTGTGTGTGTGTGTGTGTGTGTGTGTGTGTGTGTGTGTGTGTGTGTGTGTGTCCTGGCCGCCTGGTGGTGGAAGAAACGGACTCGGAATCCTGTATTTGTGCTGTCACTGGTAGGCACCCCACCCTGTTCTCAGCGTTTTCTTCCAGCCCAGATTTCCCCCAATTCTTTCCTGTTGCTTCCTCAACCCGGGAAAATTCAAAAGCAAGCGACCCCGCCTTCTCATGAATATTCAACAGCAAGGGGCTGGGAGGAAGTAGCAGAGGAACCCCGCGAGACGTCGGAC